TGTGAATGCCTGCTATGTGCCTGGGACAAGAAGTTTAATACAGAACCTGTCCCAAGCTACAGCCTGAAAGCATGTATCTATTAAACAGAAAGGAGTCAGGCTTACATAAAGTATAATCAATGCAATTCAGAACTTCTGCAGGAACTAGACATTTGGGGTAATTAAGCTTTCCAGAAAATATATTGCTAATACTTTTAAGTAACAAAAATTATGGTGGCACAGATCTGTAATCCCAGCTACTTGGGAGGCTGAGGTAGGAGGATCATCTGAGCTGAGAAATTCAAAACCATCCTAGGCAACACAGTGAGATCCCATCTCAAAAAAGATTAAGTGATGGCATGCCTATAATCCCAGCAACTTGGGAGGCTGAGGCAGGAAGATCACAAGTTCGAGGCCTGTTTCAGCAACTTAGTGAGAACCTGTCTTAGAATAAAAAACAAAAAAGGCTGAAAAACAGATCACCAAGCAGTGGTAAAGCACCTGGGTTCAATTCCCAGTACAAAAAAAAAAAACTAAAACTAAAACTAAGAAATAAATATTAAAAAAAAAAAGAAAAAAAGATTAAGTTAATAAAAAATTATATTTAATTCATTTTGGATAGAAAGCTAAAATATATTTATAAAATTTCCTCCTTTTATTAATGTTATATGGAACATAATCTTTATTTAATGGCTAAGTCATTATAAACAAACTATAGCACTAAGATATAGTACAATGATGTGAGGGCCTACTTAGGTGTATAGGGTTATAAACATCTATGACAATAACTTTGAAAGACTGAGGGGCTGAGAGCTGGGTTTCTTTTTTTGGTCAATCTCTCACACAGACATACCATACTACCATAACCTCAGTAAGATCACAGTGGGAGAGGGCCTAATTCTGAGAACAGCACCTACAATGTGCTAGGTCTACCATAAATTTTACAGGGCAGCTGGCAATCACTTGGCCAGGCGCAAAGTCAATGATGAATAAACATTGGTTTAACAAATGGCATTAGAATGTCTGCCTGAGCAGGTCCTCTCCCTTATTGCTTCTAATCTGCCATGGTGGGAAAAACAGATCACCAAACATGAAAGAACACTAGGTAAAATGTGCCTGGCACAGTAAGCTGCACATGGCAGGTGCAACATGGCAAAACTGTATGTGATAAGCCAAAGATGGCTACCAGTGAGAACTTGAATGTGCTAGAAATTGTGATAAGCCTGTTACAAATACTATTTCAGACATTACCTATAAGGCAGGTAATATTATCCCCATTTTACAGACATAGAAATTGAGGCTCAAAGTGGTTAACTTGTAGAAAGTCAGTACAGTAAACAAGTGAGGATCAGAAAAACAGGACAACTCTTTTTTTCCTAGTAGAAGTCATCTTGACTGACTTTCTGATTCTTAGGTATACTCTGAAAGGTGAGAATTTCTGACTACACTCAGAAAGTAGAAGCTCAGGAGATCTATGTTTATTAGGATCACCAGGAAGGACTTTAAGAAGACTTAAGCCCAAGCAGTATAGAAAAAAGAGATGGTACGGGGTAAAGTTGGGAGTTCATAACCCACTTGAATCAAACTGTGAAAGATGATGTATTAAGAACTGTGTAATGTTTTGAACGACCAACAATAAAAAAAAAAAAAAAAAGAGATGGGCTAAGAGAAGAAGGTATTTTGGAACTTAATTATAACCACAAAACCTTTGTGGAATAAAGGAAGGAGATGATAAACACATGAATAAACACACGTGTTTGAAACATCTATATCCACTGCAGCTGTAAGCTCCTCAAATAGTTGAACAAAGGTAGGTACAACAGCTGAGACAAAGGCCAGATGTGAAGCTAAAATTCCACAGTTCTCATTAAATAACCCAGGGTCCTTGTCAGAGAGGGGGGCGGGGGTTGGGAGCATAGAGGAATCACCTCTACTATTTCCAAACTTACAAAAAGAAAGACAAGCTGGGGCTGGGGTTGTGGCTCAGTGGTAGAGTGTTTGTCTAGCATGTGTGATGGACTAGGTTCGATTGTCTCAGCACCACATAAAAATAAATAAATACATAAATACATAAATAAAATCAAGGTCCATCAACAACTAAAAAGAAAAAAAATTTTAAAAAAAGAAAGACTGGCCTAGGGATTATTAAAATGCATGGTCTCATTTGCTCAGAAATCTTTCACGAAGTTTAACCAGAGTTTTCCTCTAATTAAAGACACACCTAATATAACCAGTGCCTGAAGATCCTCCTTACCCCTAGCAGTCACAGGAGCCGGGGGCTGGGAAACTCAGGCATCTATGGCCTCTACAACAGACACAGGGCAAGTCAGGAGTCAGCTCTCCAACTCTGGGGAGGGGAGACACACCCATAGCTTATGGCAGAGACTGGACAAACCATCAAGAGGACCAAAGTAAAAATACTGCGCTCATCAGGCTTCCTTGTCTTAACTACACAGTGGCTAAATCCTCAGCAAAAAATTCAACAGTATCTGAATGAGAGCATCAAGAATAACTCGACCTGTACTGAAGAGAGAGAAAGATGTTCACTAAGCTCTAGCAACTCTCCAAATGCAATATCACCAATTCCAGAGAGAAAGATCCCCCTCCAAACCTCCATGTCTTTCCCTTACCTCTCAGACATCAGAACTGCAGAGGGTCAAAGAATCTAGGTAGGATTCAAGACCCAGGACATACATTCAATATACATTAATGAGCACCCCTGGGTCATCAGGCATTAATCTAAGAACAGGAGTATTAATATAAGAAACACTTGTCACTCAGATAGAAGTATACCAGTCATTATTATTTACCTTTATCTGGCCCAAATACTCAAGAGTCCAAGTAAGAAGTTGTGCCCCATAAGCACCAAATAAATCTCCTTTCTCATATCTGATTCTGACCATGGTGTGCCCACTTGGAACCTTCCCACCACACTTGATCTTACAAACCCTCATATCTTCAAGGCCAGCTTAACTCCCCCTCCTCCAGAAGACCCTGATCTCCCCCACATTCCAAAGTGATGTCTCTGTTTTCCAAACTACCAAAATTATAGTAACACAACCAGATTATTCATAAATTGACTTCTCCAAATGATAACTTTTATTTATTCAACAAATCTTGAGTACCTACTATGAGCCAGCACTGTTCTAAGGGCTAGAGAAACAGCAGCAACAGTAGCATATTTTTATTCTCCAAAGGCAGCTCCTGGGGAGGGTTCTACTCTTGCCTTCAAAAACCTTCCTGTAAAGATCTGGGTTGGTACTCCGTGATTAATACCTAACGATTTATGAGAGCCTGGGGCTTTTTTGGTCCAAGCTCACACAAATCGAAGTTACATAAACTAATGGGGAACAAAAGCTACCAAAGCCATTTCTAAATGAACTTCCACTTCTTAAAAAACCCAGAAGAACAAGGAAGGAAAAGAAAACAGGCTATGAAAGCACTGCTGAACCAACATATTTTACTCACGCTGACAAAGCACCTCCAATCCCCCTTCCAAGCCACACAAAAGTGATCTTTTCCCCTCAAGCCTTGCAGTCCCAGATTCAAGTGTTTATTTCAACAGATCTCGGAAAGTTTAAAGCACTTCTCAGTTTCCTAAGCAAGACTTTCTGAATATTTCTTAATGGATAAGCCCCCTAATGAATCCTGCATATGCCGCTTAGACTAATCCAGTGAGGTTGACAACAAGGAACTACAATTTGAGCTTCAAGCACTAGAGGGGCTCAAAGATGAACACTTAGAATGGGGTAAACCCAGGGACGATTTTAACATAAAGAAAAGTCCAGTCTCGTAGAGCTCGGTCGAAGGTTCCAAGTTCCTAAGAGAAGGAAATCAACAGAATTTCCTCCGGGGAGCCGCAAGACTCTGCAAGGCGTGCGAGTATCTGCAGGAGGCGAGGGAGATTTGAGCTGTGTATGTTTGCTCTAAGGTGGCTTTTGTGAGAAACGACAGCTGGCACCTAGAGCGGCAAGGGTGAAGCCGGGCTGTGCCATGCGGCGGAGGCTGCCACCTGGGCACTCCCACCATTCTTCGCAGCGGGGTCGGCACGCGAAACCAGGAGAGCCAGGCTCCGCACGGACCCGCACCCGCGCCCCCTCGGGCTCCCGGCCCC